ATGACACCAAAGCCACCATCAACTTGGAGAAGAGCATCTTCTTTGGTGGCGTGCAGGAGGATATGCGCAGGCGTTTGCTAAATAAGGGATTGCTTGTGAACGATCTTAGCTTCAAAGGTTGCATGCGTGGTCTGCAGGTGAATAATCAAGACTTGGGCTTTCCACAAATGAAGGTCTCACATCATCTGTCCGTGAATTGCGTTTGGAAATATCCTTGCGTAGAACATAAGCCATGCTTGAAGAGCGGCATCTGCAATCAGTATGGCGTGGACGAATTCATCTGCTATTGCGATCAGTCGTATTGCATTAAGGCCGACTATCAAGGACCCTTCAAGGTAAGCCAAGCAAGTGCAATACAAAATTATTTCTCTACCTAAAGCTCACCTACCCACCCACACACAGATCTTCACCGAAACGAGCCCGGAGCTGGAGTTGCTCTACGTTTCACCCATGCAACTGCTCGAAGGCGGCATCGTCTTCTTGTCGCCACACTTCATTGACGTGCTTATTGATATGCGTAAATATCCCAGCCTCAGCGATACTTCCATTGTGTTCCACGTCGTTCAGCAGCCCAAATATGGCCAACTGTTGCAATTCTCAGTGGAGAAAAATAATTTTGTGCAGTGTCGCACATTTAGCCTTGTAGATCTCTCTACAGACAAAGTGAAATATGCGCACAATGGCATGGAGAACTTCAACGATCATGCCACTCTAGATATGCAGGTATATGGCGACATACACAAGGTGCCAGAGAATATTCTCGGCAAACATCGCTTTCTCTTGCACGCCAATGTAACGCCCATAAATGATCCGCCACAGCTGCAGATACCGATCAACAAGATTTTGCGCGTCATCGAAGGCATCGAGCGTGTACTGGATGTGGATTTGTTCAATATTGATGACCCCGATAGCCCGACGAGCGCTTTAATCTATACAATACTGCCATCCACGAATCCCGCCGANAATCCCGCCGAAGCTTTTGGCCGTTTCCTTGTCAATGGCATAGGCACTATGACTTTCTCGCAAGCGGATGTCAATTTGGGCAAAGTAGGTTTTCTTTACAACTCAACAACCACTGAGGCCTTTAGCTACCAAATATTGT